TGACTTAGTTACAACCTTGGCATCAGGTCAAAAGATAAATATATACCCATATCATCAAGGCTTCTGGATTCCTGAAATCCTTACAATAAATTGCAAACATGTTCAGTGGCTCCAGAATCTATCCATCAGGAATCAATAGATACAACCACATAACATGGCTCAATGATTAAATATATATTTTCCTATGCCACGTCATTGCTTAGACAGTTTGTCCTTTAGTGTCTTAGTTAACGGCAAAAGAAACAGTTTCATTCGCCCTCCACATACACTGCCTTATTCCCTTTAACCTTTTAGATACCTCTGTTTTGTGCTAGCCTAGTCCTATTATCATCCTTTCTTCTTTGCTTTGCCCATCCACTTGGGCCTAGAAGAAGATGGTATAGACTAGGTTAGATTGATAGGAACGCCCATACTCTTGATTATCCCTTCTTCTGTTACCAATTCTATAAGAATATCAGCGAGTGTGAACTCAAACTGATTCCTTATTTAGTTCACTCTAACAGAGTCGAATGAGTTTGGTAACAAGGCAATAATCATGTCAACTTGAAACTTACCACCCAAGTCAGCCTTATTGATCTCCAGCTAATTTTTAAATAATAAACAATCATTTTCCAAAATTTGATTTCAAACTGGAGTTCATCAGGCTATCTTGATGGTATTTAAATTTGACACAGTGCTTAGGCATATGCTCTATCTAATCTCACCAAAATATCTCATTGACATTTAATATGATGCTTGAAGAAAATAAAATAATACAAATGTTAGCTTTGGAGTATATTCGAGCTAAACTCTAGAATATTGCACCAAGTCATATCATTTGCCTTATCTAATTTATTAAAAGCATTAATGTCAAATTTGGTATCTCAAAGTAAAAGAGATAGGTATAGGAGTAATAAACACATTTTGTACCCTTACGTTGTGAATAAAATATTTAAGTTCATTTTCCAGTCATTATAAATAAGGTCCAATATCATAGAATATGTAAGCAAGTAGATAAACTGGATTAGACATAATTAATCTGAATATAAATGCATTCATACAATATGCAAGGTGAATTATTAATTCTGTCATGCATATTTAAAATTAAAATGAGTTTGTTAACCACATAATATAATAAATCTCAATCGAACAAGAGATCATTATCATTATTGGTGAACAATCCCTTTTAATTAATGCGGGTCCCTCAACTCTGTAGCATAATAAATCAACCAATCAATATGTCAACAACTTATCCTGTTGGAGGAGTTCATTATTACTATTGTTGAGATTCATTTACTATAAGGTGAGCACTTCCATTAAAATAGTATGTGGGTCCCTTAACCACAGCATGAAAAATCGGATAACCAATACACCAATAACTTATTCGGTTGGCGAAGTTCATTATTGCTATTGGCGGGCAAATCCCATCATCTCCATATCTCTTAAGACAATGCCTTGTCTATCTATATGAAATGACTCCCGATTATGTTTAGCCTTTCTAAAATCACCTAGTGTAGACCACTCCGTTGGGGAGCTAACACGATTGATTTTAGATTGAGTGTATAACATTATTAATGCTCTAATGAAAAATAAAACATTAAATATGTTGTCATTATAATCTAGACTCTTTAAATCATGCGTAGGGCCTTATTTTTAAAGATCTAATTACAATGAACATTTAATATTTTTATTTTCATGAGACAACCATTCTTGTAATATTAAGACTCTTCAAATCATGCGTGGGGCCTTATTTTTGAAGATCTAATTACAATGGTTTTAATAACGAAGGCCATGGGGCAATGTATAAAAATCCCCGCTCCCACTCAATTTTTAATCATTCATAATCAGGGTTTTCATTTTATTCACTTACATGATATAATGCATGCAAAACGTCTTGATTTTAATCCAATTAAATTTAGAAAATATTTGGACTTTAAACGACTCACTAATATTTAACTTGAGGCACACTTCAAAAATAATTTATAAAAATAATTTTTCGTTTCCCAATAAGTGCCCTCTAATTAATTAGTAATCAAATCCAATTAATTTTCATAATTTAACTAATATAAATCAAGCCATTTAAATAAATATCATGGATCCAATGCATGAACAATAATAATTAGCAATTAATTATTTCATGCATCTCATACAACAATAAATGACAGATAAAGCAAATAAAATGGCCAATGGAATCAGCTTTTAACATTTAATTGCTCTAATCACTGCGCGAAGATCTTCCATCAGCTTGCAAACACCCACATAAGGTTGGTACGCACCAGGAGAAGCAAAACACGGCTTGGAACGCGACTGGAGGGCCCCACACGCGCTCACACGCGCCTAGGGCATGCTGCAGGTGAAGCCACGCGCCCCCACGCGCTGGCACGCGCCTGGGGCGCGTGGGACGCGCCCCCACGCGCTGGCACGCGCATGGGGCGCGTGGGACGCGCCTCCACGCGCCTGCACGCGCGTGGAGGCCATACACATTTGGCTGGCGCGTGCAATGCACGCGCCAGCAGATGTCACCTCCTGGCGCGTGTTCCTCACGCGCCAGGCTCACCCCAGATGCACTACACTTGATTCTAGCCTCCTCCGACGTCTCTTCTCGCCGCCGGTGATGCTCCGGCCACCGGGAAAACGCCGAAAAATCCAGAAAAATTAATAAAAATTTCCAGAAATTAAATTAGGCCTTAAAAAATTCCAGAAAAATTCCGAAAAATTGCTAAAAACTCCCAGAAAATTTCTGAAGCCTAATTTAACCCTCTTGGACCTTCTTGAAGCTTTATAGCATCCTTTGACGAAGATTACATGGCTTTAAAAATATTTACAATTTGAAATACAATGAAAAAAATTAAATTACATCATTGAACTTTCAAACGGCTAAATCAAAGCCTTAATTACATTCATCCAAAGATAAAATTACATTAATTTAACCTATAAGCTTCATCCATGGCCCAACCATACATCATCATTCATTCACAATCATTCATACATCATTATGTATCAATATATATCAACATATTAAATCATACATCAACATACATCAATAAAAATATATATGAATATAATTTTGGATCCATGAATGATGATTTTCATAAAATCATGATCTCTAATAATGAATCAAACCATGCTCTGATACCACTGTTGGGAAACGTGCTAGTTTTAAAAACTTTTCGAGGGATTTAAATTCATAGATCTTGATTCATCACTTAGAGACAAGTTTTATGCAAAAATAAAACATGATGTATCATTCAATTAAAAGATTGAATACTTACATCAAGGTTTGAGTAAACCTTAGATCTCTCCTCTAAAGTGAATGTTCTCACTTATTGTAGATCCCTTTTGCTAGACACCTTTTCCATGGATCTCCATCTTCTTGGTAATTCTTTTGCCTTTAGGAATCACTCATATGCCTCCATGAATGACCTTGGAAACTAGACTTGTGGGAGCCTCCATTAGATGAGAACATAAACCCTAATTTTCTAGAGAGAGAAAATTTATTCCTTTTTCCTTCTCATAAAAATCACCCCAAAAAATATACATAGACCATGTATATTTATAGGCAACATAAAAATAAAGAAAAGGAAACAACAAATCCTTCTCCATCTCTAATTCATATGTCTCAAATCTAATATGATTCCAATATCAAGTTGGGCTATGAGTGAGAATCCATTGGGCCTATTATTTTATTGGCTACAATGAATTAATAATTGGCCCGGTCCATGGACCCAATTCAATTAATTCATAAATTAATTTCTACTCCACTAAAAGAAATTAATTGAACTCCAATTAAATAATAAATAACCTCTAAGTCAATATTGCACTTTGACCCCTCTATGCATAATTAGTTATCGGATAAATATAGCCATCAATCCGACTCTTTAATTAATATATTTATTTTGGTACCTTTGATTATTTCTGGCTCGATCACAATAAAACATTTGTTTGACAAAAATAATAATTTAAATAAATAAATATATAATAAATCATTTTGTCTAAAAACACACGAAGGCCTTCGAATTTACTTTGTGATCAACCATAATCAATACAAAATAAATACAAGTAGCAATGATGCAAATATTGAAAATATAACCCTCTAACTATTAATTACATAACTACCCAAAGTGTCGGTCTAAGGATCCCGAAGAATCCGCCGAACAAATCAAAGTAATTATTAATTAATAAAAGAGTCTATACTTTTCTCATGCTTAAGAGTCAAATGCCATGACGGTGATAGGGAGTAATTGCATACGACGGCTCTCGCAATATATCTCAACCTAACGCGGATCCAGTTCAAGTCTTAATTAATTATGAGTCCATCCATAATTACCGACTATGAACAATTTATAATTACTATTTATATATCATGCATTGATTGTCATCACATACATATATATAAATATTTCTTGTAATTAACTGGACACTATCAATTTCATAGTGAATTGAAACATAATACATTGAATTCACCAATTATATAAATCATAAATATTTCAGATATGTCAGGAACATATGTCAATACAATCCAGATAGGAATTCGCTATGCCAGGGCATATAAATCCCAACACAGAACACTATATCTAAGTAGTGAATTACAGTGGACAATACAAGACTTGATAGTCCAACTGCAGAACAATACTTTATGGGTTGCCAATTAAAACTTACATGGGACGTTCATTGATAGTCCAACCTTGGTAATCATTTCTATGGATGATGCATCTTATTATGTCCCAATATTGCAGAAATCTGGTTGAGTAAACGGCTAGTCTAATGCACGAGATTCCTGTCATTGCAAGATCTGGGTTAGATCTATGCAACCGAGATTTGATTGACTAAAGGACCGACCTAGTGCACGAGACTCCTAACATTGCAGGATATCGGTTAAATCTATACAACTGAGATCTGGTTGACTAAAGACTAACCTAGTGCATGAGACTCCTGCTATTATAGGGTCTGAGGAGGGTTAGATACTTAAATGTAGGCAACCTTACCTTCCCATCAAGAGATTGTTCGAGTAAGCCCTTAAATTTGAAATTTTAAGTCCATATATATATTTACCTAATTGGTTCTGATAGGAACACAAATCTGCGTTACATAAGCAAATCACAGTCATGGGACCCGTGGCAAAGCAGGACATTGTTTAAACACCATCAACGAAAGCTGAAATATTTCAGCATGAAACAAAGCATCACCAATTCCACAAGCCACAGACGTATTATGGGGCCAGCTTCACGACTTAAAATGCAGCAATGAAGAAACTCCATCCTTCCCCTTTGAGGTTTAGTGAGAGTGAAACTCTTCTACAAATGTTTCGGGATATATTTGGGGGTTTTCCTTCTATATCAACTCCTTGATTGGTCCATAACCACTCAAGGAACTTCCTTTCCTGATTTGCTGTCTGAAAAAAGATGCCACTGAAATTCTTGGTCCTACATTTCTCGCCACCACTCTGTGATGCACACTCTTAAGCCTATCATTAGTGATGAGCTGTCCAAAACAAGACATAAAGAAAATAAATAATTTTATTCACTTCATACCTGATTGAATATTTAAATTTGCATCATCACTTACTTACCTGCAAAAGATCTCCAATGTTTACTATTAGAGCTCCACGCTTCGGGGGGAACATCAACCCACTAATTCTCCTAAAGAACTTGGAGGCCACCAACCTGGTATTGAATGTAATACCCCGATAATTTAAATGATTTATTAAATTATGATTAATTAATGATTTATTTGATTTAATTTGAATTAATTGCGTTTATTTTAATTTTTAATTGATTTGTTTTAATTGAGTGCTTAGATTAATTATTATTATTTTTAATTAAATTATATTTCGTGTTTATATATGATGATTGTTGTGTATGTGTTTGATTATTGATTAAATTATTGGGTATTATTTTTCTTGGTATGGTGTGACTTAGTTGTAAATTCATGTTTGTTAAGGTGCTTCGTGTAATTAGTTATTTTAATTTAAGTGTTTGTTTAATTATTTGTTTTATTTAAATTAATTAGATGTGGGCTTAAGGGAAGTTGGACCAAAAGATGTGGTCTTGGACTTATATGAAGCCTTATTGAGTTAATTAATAAAGATGGTTATTTGATTATTTAAATGATCATTTTGGTATTAATTATAAATGTATATATTTAATTATATATAAATATAATTAATTAATATGTGTTATGGAAGAAAATATATATATACATATATATTTATGTATATATATAGGATATATAATTTAATTAACCAATGGTTAATTATGGAAGATATATATATATATATATATATATATATATATATATATGTAATATAATATATGTTTATATATATATTATATTATTTAGAGATTATTATTCTATTTCGTAGTCGTAGTAGAAATAAGATTTGGATTCTAATGTGTATAAATATACACATAAAGCTTCAGGGTTAAAAGTTTTACATGTTAGGAAAATAAGAGAGACAAAGAGAGGGGAAGAAGAAGAGCTGACAAGGAGGAGGCTGGATCTGAAAAGGAAGACGTTGGGATTGGAGGAGACAATCAAGCTTGAAGCGTCAGTTTCATTTCGAAACCCACAGGTGAGTTTTCTCTATCTTTCCTCTTAGAACTCATAAATATTTCACCTTGAGTATCAATACTTTAATTAAATTATTAATTTAAATCTTTATTAGAACGGATTAATCAAAGTTAGGACGGATTAATAGGAAAATATTAAGTTAATTGTATTTGATTAAATTAGGATTAAATTGAAGTATGAAAAACATGTTTTATTATTATTGTTATTATTATTATTTTTTTGGAATGGTTGGATTTTAATTATATACATAGGTTGTATATATTTAAAATAATTGTTATGCTTGATCTGTGACCTAAGATGATTAATTAGGGTGAATGGAATTTCTGGTAATTTTCTAAAATTTTTTGGTATTTTTATATATTTTTTTGGAATTAATTAGATTAATATATATATACACGGCATATATATACGCTGGGGCAGGAATGGGCGCCTCCAATAAGGGGCGAGCTACAGTACGTCGCGGTACATAGCATTTAGGTGCGCCTCAAATCAGGACCGCAGGATGGTCCTGATGATTAATAGATGATCCGGTGTGGGCAGGTATAAATGAAGATGGTACATAAACTGATATAGTCCATTAGATTACTTTAAATGTTAAGTAGATTGATTTGGTGTAGTATGGATATATGGGAATTCGGTGTACCACGGATTAGAGCCATTACTGTGGCTTGATCAAAGAGAGATTGATAAGGTGTAGCACAGGTACATGGATTCGCAGTGAGATGATCCAGTGCTTCGCGACTCACAAAAAGAGAGAGGAACAACCAACCATAAGAAGCCATGTCATCCAAAAAGAAAGAGCAGCGCGTGGGAGCACGTGAACCGCGCGTGGGAGCGCGTGTGACCATCTGCCAGCTAGGAGTGGCGCATGGAAGCGCGTGAGAGGTGTTTGGCCACAGGTGGCGGCGCGTGGGGGCGCGTGTATAGGGGTTTGATGCCCCGGGAGGTTGCTGTAGCGTCCGTTGATGTCCCAGAGTTGATTTCAAGCTTATTAATATTGACATCAATTAGAAGAGGAGGTGTTTTAGGTGTTTGAGAGCTGTAGTATGTTGTTACGATATTCTTAGTTGCATTTTTCAGTAATATACTTAATTAATATTACGTGACGGGAGGAAGTGAGTATATATATATATATATATATATATATATATATATATATATATATATATATGGAAGGTGTTATACACATGTATATATTAAATGATAGATGTGTATATGTTGTATATATTATTTAAGATGGTTAGTAGTATTAGTCTTATTTAGTATATATGGATAGGCTGATTATTAAATTAATTATATGCATTTGATATGCATGCAATGCCTAGGTATGAGTTGTTTTGTTGATAAGTTAATTTGCTTATGTATAAATTGTTTGGTTGATAAAATTACTTTTAAGGTTTGGTACATGGTTGAATTGTAGGCATGGATAAGTTGCCAAAGACGTAATTATATTGCCTAAGTATATGTATAAATAAAACATAAATAGGACGCATGGATGAGTTGCTAAGTTTAAAAGTATAAATATATATACTTAAGGAGGCATGGTTGAGTTGCTAATATATAAATAAATATATTTTTAATGGCATGGTTAATTTGCCAATATATAATTAAATATACTTAAGGAGGCATGGTTGAGTTGCCAATATATAAATAATTATATTTATAAGGACATGGTTGATTTGCCCAAGTGTAATTAAGTTCTGATGTGTTAGATGATTAAAACTTCATCTATGGTTATTGTATGAATAGGTTGGATAAGGACTAGATATTCTTAAATTATAATACTCTAGTCATTATAGGTTAGTGTATTATTTTACGTGTATTAATAAAATAATATTGGTGGAGACATGGATGAATTGTCAAAACCTAAATATTGGTTTTGGGATTTAAATAATTAAATCATTATTGAGTTTGGATTAAATATAATATTATTTAATTATACTGTAAAAATGTTTAAATTAACTGTTTATCACGGGATTGAGGTTAATGAACTTTTCTTTAATAGAAATTGTGGAATGGTCTAGGTATGATTGGTATTTAATCATTGTTTTATTGGATTTGAGAATTTAATAAACCTATTTTTGTATTTATTAAATTTTATTAGAGGAGGTGATTAGTGTAGTATGTGTGTGTATATATATATATATATAAAATTATTTGTTTATATATATATATATATATCATTGTATAATAAAGATAAAAGTTTTATTAGGTTTAAATTTGATCAGAGATGATCTACTTATTGGTTTTCAGAGGTCTGGTAGAGAGAATTTGTTCGTTGGGTTTAACCCGCGATTTGTTTTTCAGGTTATTAGCAGTTCAAGTCTCAAGGTTGAGGATCCGCAGCTGGAGGACTTATCTATTCTTTCTATGTTACTTCAAAGTAGGATATTATACTTCAGTAATTATTAATGAATTTATGGATAGTGGATTTTGGTTAAGGGGTCCTTGAGTTACGGGATTCCCGAATTGTAATCATTGGAGAGTTATTAATAGAAACTTTTACTTATTAGTCTTTCTTCAGCGAGTTATATATACTTTTTATTTCTTCTTGTATTCTGTGTTTATTTAAATGCTAAATTGTTTTGATATTCCCGTGTTTTCGGGTGCGAGCCTGGCCAACCTACACGTGAAAATTGTGAAGTATCACATTGAAGAAGTATGGTGAGGAATGATGTGTCAGTGTGGCTGCTAGTACCCAAAGTTAATTCTGGTTCAGGACACACGGGGTAATAATGACCGAGAAGGAGAAACTGCTCGGTGCAATCCATGTCTTTCGAATGGTTGGGGTTGAGTCCAAGGGCCTCCGACATTAGTTCAAGGACAGTGTGTCCCAAACTCATTACTTGCTTTGAGTAATGAATCATTATATCACTGTCAAGTTGTCTAAAACATATCATATAGACAGTTATAAATGTTCAAGTGGCAAACGGAACAATTGTCACTAGAGAGTATCATACTATCATGTTATAAGTGCCAGAACAAAAATGCAGCGAAACACAAGTTGCACAACATGCAAAACACAACATGCATCTTTTAAGGTATGTTTTGTGTAGACCACATTGGGCAAACGGGAAGCAGTACAAGACAAAGAAAAAAAGTAACCACAGAACAAAACACATGATATACGTGATTCACCAAAACCAGGGCTACTTTCACGGATGAGAATAGATTCACTATATATGTAGAGATATTATGTAGAGAATTTTCAACACCGAATGAGATATGTTTTGTGCATACCAAACAACAGAGCATCTACTCAGAGCAAAAAACAAAATAAACACAGGATTTTATAACAATGGTTATTCATAAAAAGGAGAATATTTACTAGTTGGTCAGTTTGCTTTAAAACAAGCTCATTGTATAATGATCTTTAATTTAACTAGTGACAAGCACCGGAACAATTATTTATTTCGGATACATCATCTTTTTTTTTTTGTGCCAAAAATAAAAGAATAAAAAAGAAAAAAGATTCCAGATTGCAATTCTACCATTAAAACCTTTTTGTCCAAGAAAGATTAATTGAAACATTAAAAAGTTATAGGCATTTTGGAGGGATTTAGAAAATATTAGCAATTAGAATAATTTATGGTTGGATTGTTGTCATTCCATTTAACCCAATTGGGATGTCCCGAATCTTACATGTCTCTTGAGAGGAGTAACTTGAAGCTTTGAATTTTGAATATATTTAATACTCCAAAATATAATGAGAAATTGATCTATAATCGATTTCATAACAAATACACAAGAATTTCTATAAGTTCTCACCATCAGTTAGATACAAAAGAATGAATGGATCTTATAAGATTCCAAGAAATCCTTCAATTAAATACTATTTTATTTCAAATTAAATAAACTAATCCTAATTCCTACCCTAATAGCATTATCTATATACCATATAAAAATCTCTTAATTTATACATAATTAAGTAGTGAATTGAGTACCTGCAAACTGCGGGTAATTCATCCCGATCCGGAGTATGAGGAGCCATGACACAAAAAAGGGTGTCCTTCCAATCAGCTGCCGGCGAACTATACAGACGAAAATTGGACAAATACAACACTCTTTTATTGAAATCCCTTGTGTACAACTTCTTCTTCTCCTCAGTGTCTTGCTCATGAAATCTGCATATCCCATCTATCATCTCATCCAAAACAGTCACTGGAATTCCATGATTGACAACCTGAAAGAAACCCCACTTCTCACAAGCCTCTATTATTTCTCGAATGATCTCTCTGCGTTTGGTTGCATCTTTGTTAACACCTTCAAGATCAATAACTGGAATACTGCACTTGGAGTAGTCTCCAAGCTGGATATAAGGTTTTTGGATAAATATTTGTGGGATTTTTGTCAAACCAGCATCTACAAGTCCCTTGACACCAGCTTTTGTATCATCAAATGCTTTTAATTCGGTGTTGCGGTCATAACTGGTGTCACTTGGAGCCTGATTTCTGGCTGTGCTAGTTGCCATCATCTCCCTGTCTCTCTGTAGTAAAATAGTCAGTCTGTAGCTTGCAGGTGTTGAGTTTGGTCTCTTTGGGTGTATGATCCACGAGAAAAGGTAGATTTGGATAAGATGTTTATGGGACGGACAAACAAATGCACCAACCTCCTTTTACTTATTATTATTTGTCCTCCTCTGTCCCACATTTGTTATTTGTTCTTCTTATCTGTCCATGGAATAAAATTTCCTCCTGTAAATAATACATCATGTTCCATTCAGTTTGGAATGTACTTTACAATAAAGTTGAGATATTTGTTAAACGTCTCAACTCTTTATAAGGTACATCCCGAACTGGATAAAATGTGTCTTACTATTCCACTGAAAAGAATTCGGGTCCATCTGTCCTTAGGCTAGGCTAACAAGGAGGTTCTTATGAAAGCAGTCTTGAATGAGAAATTATTACATAATCCAGAATTATTATTTACGACACATAAGCAAGTGTGTAAGCGACTAAGCGTTATGTCGACTTTATTTCACTTTTTGCTTACGTGTCAATTGATGAAGTGGTTTACTCATTTACGTCATGTCATCTTTTAAACAACAAAGTTTTCTATGGTCCCGAGACCGTTGCTCTCGACCAATCATAGACGTAAGAAAAAAGCTGAAAAATAAAAATAAATAAATAAATAAATAAATAACAAACTTACACATTTTTGACACAATTGCTTACATGTCCAATGGTGAATGGGTCGAAACCAATGTCCCGAGACTATGTAATAACTTTATTTTTAAACTATTTTGGAGAAATTTTTACATGATCTCGGCCAATCAAAACTCGACATCTAACAAATGTATCAACTTTATTCAATTTTTTTCCTGTGTGATCTATTGTGATCGGTCATGACCATGTAGTCCTGGACCATGCAATAATTTCTCACTAGCTACAGTACCCTACCCACTTACATCATGTCATGCTTTAAACTAAAGGCCAACCCTGGGGCAAGGTGTAAAGGCCGATTTTCTTTTTCCATTTTTACCTTTCATTTTTTTTTTTTCTTTCTTTTCCAATGTGCATTGAGTGTTTCATGACGTAGGGAATGTGTTTCAGGTTGTTCGGAATTATTTCTAGTCTGAGAGTCTCTAAACTCTTAGGCCATATTTGGTGTGGTTGAATGAAATCAAATAAGAGGGAATGGAATGTTTTTCTTTCCATTCTTGTGTTTGGTGTGAGCTATTAAAAGTGGAATCATCATTCTCCACCATTCTCGGAGAATGGTCATTCCACCTAAATCATTGCATCTTTTTACCAATGGAATGAGCATTCCATTCCCACTAGGATTAAAAAAATTATGCCTAAAATAAAAAATATATTATTATCTCTTTTATAAACATCGACGTCTTCCCACCCAACATCATCTTCCAACCCATCACAACCCAGCCGCCGCCATCATCATCATCTCCTTGCTCCGGCCGCCATCATCATCATCACAACCTTGCCGCCACCATCATTACAACCCTTGTTTTGCCGCCATCATCATCTCCTTACTCCGCTCGCCATCATCATTATCACAAACCAGCCGCTGCCATCATCATCACAACTCAGCCGCCATCATCATAACCCTTGCTCCGCCGCCATCATCATCTCCTTGCTCCGCCGCCATTATCATCACAACCCTTGCTCAATTGCCATCATCACAACCCTTACTCGTTGCCATCATCATCATTACAACCCCACCACCGTTAATTTTTTTGTTAAATTTATTTATTTAGTTATTTTTAAGTTAAATTTCTTTATTCCTATTCCATGCTTCTTCTCAACGACGTCTTTTGCCCCAATCTTGCTTGCCCCAGTTTCATTACTTACACTTAATTTTTTTGTTAAATTTATTTTCTTTTCTTTTTTAAGTTAAATTAATTCCATTCCAGCTTTTAAATTGGTTCAACCAAACACAGGAATGAGAATCATCATTCCATATTTACAACATTCCATGTTTGCACCCAAACACTATAATGGAATGGTCATTCTCATTTCATTCTCATTCTCATTCCATTCTCAGCTTTATTCCATTCCCACTGTATTTCCTTCATGCACACCAAACTAGCCCTTAGATGTCATTTTCGGGACATTTCACTTTTTCGAGCATGTGGGCCCGAGATGACGGCCGTGTAAAGATGTCTAAACCATAATACTTTGGTTCTTTGTGACTTTATGTTGCTTTAATTTCACTTTATATTTTTAAGGAAATGGTAAAAAAGAGGAAGAGGATTCATAAACCCATCCTTGATGTAATGGGGGACTCCTCTGTCGAACTTAACATTTAGATCATGTGCTAGTGTATATTTTGATGTGTTGTAATTCAATGGCTAAATGTATGTATATTTGGTTATGAATGGTTTTGAGACCTATTTTTCACCTTTTACGATCTCATTGTGATCTCTATTTCTTCTTGAAGCTTTTGAACCATTTAAAGATGTAATCGGACCTAAATTGATGAACGAATAATGAAATCAAATCTACCATGATGTATGAATGCTATTTTATTCATGTTTCTATGTCAATTGGTGCATTTAGAATAAGTTTTGGTGCATGGTTGAATCCTTAGGATGACTTTTTGAGCTCATCCGTAGCTTTTAGTAACCAAACCGATCATTTCAGAACATATCAAGATCATTTGGGTGCATTTGGACACCCCACATGTAACGATCCAAATCTGGGGATCTGGATCGCTAATCAGGTCCTTACCCGAACCGAGGTCACACAAAGGTACTACGGTTATTTCACGTCATTATATTAGTTCTAGCATCAGCTGCATTCTCCTGAACCAAAAAGGAAAGTTTGTGTATTTATCAACTTCTATTACCTTTTAAGCCTGACTTGTAGGGATATTCTAACACAAAATTTGGTGTGTTTTCTAACCATATTAAGACTATCTATTTGTCTATATAAACTCATATTCATACACATTAACTCACGGATTCTGCATTAAAAGTTTCATAACCTTAGAAAGCCTTTCGGCGTGAGTTTCTAAGAGTAAATTATTTTTTTTGTTTTTGAGAGCATGCAAACTATACACGAGTATTTTAGGTTGTTTGTTCATTGTTGGGTCAGGATTGTCGTGATTGAAGATTTCATATCTACCTATTATAAAGCAGAATTTCTTTCGAACTTTAGAGATCAGTTCTTGAAAAAAGAGAGAAGAAGATCACACTTTGAAGGGAAGAAGACACTCATGGAGTGTTGGTTGATCTACCAGCGATCCTTCTACAAAAATCAAGAGTAAGCCTAAGGTCGAGAGCTGTCGGATGGGTGAGTCACCAAGTCAAGGATCGTCAGCAATTTGTTTTTGGTAGAGTAATAGGGTGAGTCTAAGTCAGAGTCAATTGTACTATGCTTCATGTATAGTGGATCTTTTTGCTTAGGACGGCATAGTCCTTGAGGTTTTCGCATAACGATTAGTCCCTTCTGCTACTCAGGGTTTCCTTATAAGAAATCCGTTGTCACTCTAAACTGACTATTTACTTTACTTGCAATTTATATTTACTTTGTTGGTGTATAATTTAAGTTTATTTTGATAAATTTAAAGTAATAAAAAATTAGGTAAATAAGCAAGTTGAACCATTCACCCCTTAGGTTTTTTATACATACTATATGCCACAACCATTCTGTATTGTGTAACTCACAATTGGTATCAGAGCCATCCTCTACACATTGAGTTGTTCCCGTGAAATATTTTTAAAATAAAAAATCTATTTTTGTTTTCAAAAATTCATTATGGATAGTGTAATACCCCTATATTTTAAAGCAATTATTTATTGGGATTAATTGCTTTTTATTTTATTTCAAATTATTTGTTTGATTTAATTGGGTGTTTTGATTAATTTTCTTATTTTAATTAAATTATATTTCGTATTTTACTTGTTGAATTGATATAATGTTTTTCTTTGTGGAATAACATGATTGGGTTGTTTATTTGACTATGTGTGTATTTATACTCATGTGATTTAATTGTGAATTATTTGTAATTAATAGACTTAATTTTATTGTTTTATTTATTTAAGTTATATGGATTGGGCATAAGGGAAATTGGACCAATGGATGTAGTATTGGGCTTGGATGAAGCCTTGTTGGGTTAATTAATAAGGGCTCATGGTTTTGAAGATATTTAAATGATTTTTTTTCATATTTATATATATAAATTATTATATATATATATAACTGATTAATGATTTTTATTGAAGGAAATATATATATATTACATGATATATATGCAAATATGATTTAAGTAATTAATGATAATTATGAAAGGAAATATATATATATATATATATATATATATATATATATATATTACTAAGAATATTACGTATATATTTATATTGGCAGTCAAACTAGGAATAGGATTAGGGTATATATATATCTATATATACACATAGTGTTGTATTGTTAAAAATGGTTTTTCACATTAGAAAAAATAAGAGAGGCAGAGAGAGAGAAGAAGAAGGGAAGGTTGACTAAGAAGGGTTCCGATCAAAGAGAGGACGACGCTGGCAACAAGGAGGCTGCCAGAATTGGAAGAGACAACCAAGGCTTAAGATATTGATTTCGTTTCGAAACCTTCGGGTGAGTTCTTCTCTACTTCTCCTCTTAGGACTCATAAATCTTACACCTTGGGCATCAAAATCATGTAGATAATATGCATGTTAAATCACCTAGACATAGGATTAAAAATATGGACTAAATTGACGTGTATGGAATGATATATATATATATATATATGTTTGTATATATGTGGATAAAGAATATGATTTAATTAAATTCATTTTAGGTGTTTTTACTTATTGATTTTTACATATATGGATGTATAATTGTGTAAGAATCATCTTAGAATTTATTTGGGGTTGTTAGCACGTGATTCGGGGGCAAAACGACAGATTTATAGGCCTAAAACAGATCTGTGAAACTGCTGCCGCAACTTTATGTTCAAGCACAAAGGTTTGTGCTAAAGCATAGTCACCGATATGACAGCTAGTGCTCGAGCATTAGGATTTGTGCTTGAGCACAGATGGTTTGTGCTCAAGCTCTGGAACAGAAGAACTTTGCTTAAATGACTTTGAGTGATGCCAGATTGATTCTAGAAGGTCCCAAACATGTCCTTATGCATAGGAACAATG